TGCCCTCTACACTGGTCACTCTGTCGCTCACCCTGGCTCAACGACCTCCTCCTCTCACCTCCGCTCCTCTGCGGCGAGCCCCCGTCCTCTCCCCTTCCTTAGCCCCGCCATCTGCCTTCCTCTTCCTCTTCCTCGTCGCGGCGCCACATCGGTGTCAACGTCCCAAGCCTTACCGTACTCGGCACGGGACCCCGCGCTCGGCAGCAGGATCCCGTCCCCCGCGCTCAAGCGCCGGGTCGGCCGACGTTGAAAAATAACGAACCGACGATGCTCTTGCTCTCTTTCTCTGTCTGTCTCCTCCCTTCCGTACACTCGCTTCCTTCTTCTTCCTCCTCTGTCTCTCTTCTACTCCTCCTCTTGTTTGCTTGTTGTCTTGCTCTTTCGTTCAGATGTTTCTTCTGTTGTGAGCAAGGTGCATCTCTTTCCTTTTTCTTTTCCTTTCGTTATACATACCTACCTATCATTTCTCTCTTACCTACGGTGCCCCCTTTGATCTTTCTAACCGTTCTGACAAAACACCAGGTTGTACAACACAACCTTCCACGTCTGCATGTAGTCTACCTCGTGGTCTCTCACAGACACAACTTTCTACGCGAAAAAGTTCCGATTTTTGGCGGATGGATGGTTGGGTTTTCCTCTGCCACCCTCCTCGCCGGCCTCTCCCCTTCTCTCCGCTACGGGGGAGGGTGCAGGATATCACGCGATGACCGATACTTGCGCGTCTCTTGTTTCTATAGTACGCGCATTGCCTGTTGAGCGGTTCATTTTCTCGATGCTTGCGTGATGAACATGCGGGAGTGTCTCTCGATTCTTGATGGTGTGCATGGTCTGTGTGTCTGTGGATTGCTGATCCATTCTGCCATTACCGACCTCACCAGGATGCTGTTTCCGGACGGTGTTGGTCAGCAATGATTCCACCCACGCACACACACACGAAGCAGCTTTTGTAGACACGTGCAGTTTGAAGTATACTTGTACACGGTATAATGCCGGTTGCCCGCTAGACTAATGCCGGTGAAATCGGGTGGCACAACTTCAAGCCGGTACAACTATAATGCCTGTACCGGTATAATAGAGAATGTACCAGGATGCACAACGATTACTGCTGTATGTAGACTGCAGTGTATTGATACCCCAATGTATGAGTGTTGCTTTTGGATATTGCATGCGATACTATGCAATAATACCAATACAGCCTGAGAGGTGCGCACATGACAAAACGAACTACTGGCTATAGACTCTCGAATCCCGGGATGGGTGTGTTTTTCTTTGATGGGGCGCCGTTGCACTTGGCAGCGAGGTTTCGACCCCTAGTTATGGGAAGGATTAGGCGATTTGTAGGCTACACGTTCGACAACGCGATTTTGTTAGGGTAGCCACAACAAGATCTGACAAGCACGGGTACGTAGACGCTCGATCGCCAATGACCAACAACGCCGAAAGCAAAAGGGAATCCCCCCCGCCGCCCGCCGTCCGCCCGCCTGACAGGCGTGACCTGTTCCTACCAGGTGCTGGTGCTTATGGTGGTGGTCCACCTCTGGGTTTGTAGAAAATGGCCCCCATATGTTCCCAGGTATATGTGTATGAGGGGTGTGTGTTTGTTTCAAAAGCATCGGTCGTGCTAAACGGTTGACCAGTGAAAAAATTCCAGTGCCAGTGGAGAAAAGATCAAAAGATCAAGGTCCCCGGGAAAAAACTATGTCCCGAATATTCGCGTAACCCCCCGGATGTGTGTGCTTCTTGGGCTTGCATCGACCACGATAACCGGCAGACCGATGAAAAGATGCCAGTCTTGTGGGATAAATACGTGAGCACGTTTTTTCGTCGAAGGGTTCTATCGATAATGGGGCACAGTGTGTGTCATTGTTGTTGGCATCGGCCCAGGGTCACCGGCTGACTAACGAAAAATGTCGGTCTCGTGTGGTTAGAAACGGAAAACACTCCTAAAGGCCACGATCTGGGACCCCGTGAGTGGGCGTCATAGGCGTGTGTTTGTTGTATCACTATGATTGGCATCAACCGCTCTGCCCGGTTAGACGATAAGAGGATGTCAGTCTTGATGGGTCGTACGTTGAGGCCAAACAAGCTAGGATAGCTTGAAGGCATGGACGCTTGCTCACGAACGAAGTCTGGCCAATTTGGGCGCGCACGCAAATGGCAGCAAACATCCCAGTGTCCCTTGTGTGAGGTTGTCTGTGGATGAGCGAAACCTGCTCCACGCGGCCGCGAACCACGTGCCCAGAATCCTCGACATTTTCCCGGTCCACGCGGGGTCTTGCATGGCCACCTGTACATCCTGCAGCGGCATGAATGGCAGCGTCAACTCAGCGTGACCTGCTTTAGAGTGTTTCACCACAACGCCTCAACTCGTCGCGCGATCACGCGTTCCCACGGCCGTGACACGCCACGATTCCATGATACCTGATGCTTGTACTTGATGCCATGTCGACTTCGGTGCTCCACCGATTGATTTTGGTTCTCGATGACGGATCCAGGCAAACATCGTTGGTGTGCATTACCGGTGTCGCGGGAGTCGTTGCGTACATCGGGGCTTTATTTGCCTACGGGGTTATCGAAAGACACGAAGGCGACTTCTTAGGTGAGGTGTAGCCGTTCTGTGCGTATTGTTACTGAACGTTAGCTCTGTTTCTTGCTCATTGGCGTTTACCGGTTGGCCACTACAAAACCCGTCAGTCCGGACAAACCCACCCGTCAGTTCGTGGCCGAACATAGGTTGGGTCAACCCCGCGTGGTAAACTTGTGCCCAACCCACAGCACGCAGTACATGAACCTTGCTTGGTGTGTTTGCCGTTTTCTCCTGCAGCCAACTGCGCGGTCGAAGGGCTCTTCGACTATACAGGCTGGGGCGTTTGGACCTCGGTGGCTCTGGTGCGTGTGTACCGCAGCTGGAAAATCCTCTGCCGCCACTCGGTTGACATGTGGCCCGCCTGGGCGCAGGTTGCCCTCCTCTCCATCCCCTGGCTGTGAGTGCAGCACCGGCGGTGTTACGGCCTTGCCGTCGCGAGTGTGTCGATGTGGTAGCGGTGGGCAAATGTTGGGGCGTGCGTGTTTGCGGGGTTGAGCTGGCGTTCCTGAATGACAGCATGTACCGGCCCGCGCATGGCGAAACGAGCATGAACAAAGTGAGGCTGAGAGCCTTGTAAAACCTAGAAGTTCGGCCTTCGGAGGGCTCCGGCGGCCGGCGCGAAGTAAAATCCCATACGACAGATAATATATACGAGTCTGTGCTCACTGCTTGCCACACAACGTGTGAGCCTGATGTTTAGCTTGTTGTGATCGGGCCGGATAGCAGTATGAACTATTTACGTGATCCCAATCTCGACGGCGCATGAATATAGTTGATAGGGCGTGCACCCAATACGTGGGCTTCGGTGCGATGACGCTCGGGTCTTCGTCTCCACGCAGGTGACTCGTGTGGTAGTGAGTGCCAATACTACAAAAACCCACCAAGTGTGCATCGCGGTAATCAACATGAGGCAATATCAAGACTTTCCGTCTTGACAATCATTCCCCGATGTCGGCCATTAATTCTTGAACGAGCGTCCGGGCGATAACTTCCCTTAACTGTTGTCCTAGATCCCGCAAGAAAATGCGAGCGACTGCGCACACCCTCTAAATGAAGTCAATAACTCTATTTTCCCGAAACCAAGAGGGTGCAAAAACGGACCGATGCGTGCAAGAAAACACGTGGGCGAGGATGAAAACGACTAGTTTATATCGAGGCCAATGTGACTCCTTCTATCGACGAAGCAAATGTGTGTTGGCCTGTTATGGTCAGCGTGCGACGCCTGCTCACCGTGTGGAACATAGTAGTTTGTGGTTATCAAGTTCGTGGCAGCTTTTGCCTTTCGCTGTTCTCCCCTGTTCATACCTCACCTTGCACTTCGGGCACTTGTTTTATTTTTGCCCAGCACCACCTCCGCCGGCGCTCGTCGTGCTTCTGCGTTTCCTTTCTCCCCATCTCCCCGTGGGTCACTCATGGGCCATACGCTGCATCGTTCGGTCTTATGACCGATGTGCCCATCAATGGTCTAATCGCTGCTGTTTTCGTTGCTCGATCTGCTGGCCGGCGTGTGCCCCCCCCCGTCGATCTTCGATCTGTGGAACTGTGGAACCGTCGACGACCCCTGTTCTATTCATGCTGTGGTTGCATCGGTGTGACCTTTCGGGCTTGTTGCCCCGCTCGCAGGGTCCCCGTGGTGGCGTACTCCATAAAGCCCAGCCTCTCCGAATTCAATGAACTCGGCAACTGGTGCGACATCAATGTCGCCATCGACACCGCTCTGTATGTCTACGGCGGCGTGCCCATCATCGGCGCCTTTTTCCTGTCTTTCCAGATGAGGAGGGTCCGGAAGCAGATGAACTTTTATCGGATGCAGGTCCTGCAGTTGCTGTTCCTCTTTGTCACTGGAACCATCATCTTCCCGCTTTTGGAAGAGTCGCTGCACAGCAACATAAGAAGGACATGGATTATGTACGACAACATTGTGGTGAGTCTTTCCGACTGAGGTTCCGTACTCAGGCAAATATGTTTTGTGTGATAGAGGCTTGCGATTGATTCTAGGCGTACCTAGGTGAGGTCGAGATCTCCCCTTCTGCTCCGGAACGTGCCCCGCTGTCGAGACCTTTGGATTCATTCGTTTTACCAATCACCTGGTGTCCTACGCCGCTTAACGTGACTTCTCACGTTACTTGGCTCCACCACCCGTACATCCTCGGCCCTCTCGTACTGCAGTCGTCAATAATCCTGTTCTGGCCGCCGATCATAGAGCCTCTATACCGAAAACTCTCGGGCGACGAGGACTACCTCTACAGCTACACGAAGGGATTTTCGCAGTTGCCAACTCCGGCGCAGGTGAGCGTGTGCCGTTTGTTGTGGGTTGTGGTCTGCCGTTTCTTTGTTCAAGTTGACTGTGATGCTGCTGCTGTTGTAGTGCTACAGGTCTGGGGTTGCTCGTTGTTGACTACTCTTTTTTGTGAAATCTGTTGTCGTTGCTGCCGAATTGGTGATGACAATGCTGAAGGTTGACGTCTTCATCGGGTTGAATGTAGATGATGCTGTGCCGAGGCGTGGGTGTTGACGGTTTCGCTGACCCGGAGACAAGCTCTCCTCGAATACACTCGGCGCCTTCTCTTCAAAGCTCTTGTTCTCGTTGTGGGCGAGTGGGTGGTCTGGTGCTTCACCTCGAACTCAAGTACGGAGGGACGAGCTCATCCTTCGCAAGACGAATAGTCTATGTACTTAACAAGCTGATACAATAGCAGCTTTCGTGCTGGAACTACGCGATAACTCTCCGCTTTTCGTTAGACCCCGATTTATGGGAACGAGATCTTGTCGACAAATCTTGATCTTGGCCAAGATCCGCCAGTTTCACGATTTAGACCCTTCTTAATGGAAACAGAATCTTGCAAACATATCTTCGCATTTTGACCCAAGATTTGCTCACAAGATATCGCCGCCAAGATTTGCAGTGTCGCGATTTATGGGGGAAATATGTTGAATGTTGAAAAAGCGGCGTGTTGTTCCTCTCTTCTGCTTGAAGTTGACAAAGCAAAACGGCCACTTGGTCCACAGAAAATGCCAAGGTGTGGCGAAAAGTGAGTATGACGCAGTTGTGGAAGGGGCGTCCCTCCCCCAGCTATATTGTCTCCGCAGTATGGGTGGATACTAGCGATGCGCGCCTACCTGGGGTGGAAAATAGAAGCCGTTGCCCACGAGCTCATGCCAAGCGGAGAAACAAAATTGTTCCGCCGCTGTCCAACCGCCAAGAAAGCGCATCAACCCCAAGCCGATGACACCCGTGCACGTATCTCACTATGTAGCAGGCGTACCGAGGTCAAACCTCCGGCGCTGCCATCTGCACTCACGGATCTGGCTCGGGTGCAAACAGATTGGGTGTGGGGTGATTCGATGAAGAGATAGAAGTGTCACACACGACAGAGCTGTGTTGGCAAAACGTTCCTCGTCCTCTATTTTTCGTACTTCAAAATGAAGCAATCTTTGAACGGTCCCTCGACAGATTAGTGATGACGCACGTGGAACGAGCCAGGGCAAATACGCATTTTTTCGCGCGCCTTGGTCGTTTTCGTTCGCTGTCCGCGTCCGTGGCGCCGACCCAGTGACGCCAGGGTGCGGTAGAGACCCTTGCGATTGTGCCACGTGCAGATGTCATGGCGTTATGTACGATTAGGTTGACTGACCTTCGGTGATCGCGCCGCACCCAGGCAAGATTTGTTGCGCCGCCTCAAGATTTGTCGGAAGGCTCGTTTCGACAGATCTTGATTTATGGGAACGAAATCTTGTCGATAAATCTTGATCTTGGCCAAAATCTGCCAGTTTCACGATTTTTGGGAGCGAAATCTTCCGATATATCTTGGCCAAGATTTCTCGAAGCCCAAAATCTGCCCTTTCGAGCAAATCTTGACCCAAGATCTGTCGAAACGAGCCTTCCGACAAATCTTGAGGCGGCGCAACAAATCTTGCCTGGGTGCGGCGCGATCACCGAAGGTCAGTCAACCTAATCGTACATAACGCCATGACATCTGCACGTGGCACAATCGCAAGTCTCTACCGCACCCTGGCGTCACTGGGTCGGCGCCACGGACGCGGACAGCGAACGAAAACGACCAAGGCGCGCGAAAAAATGCGTATTTGCCCTGGCTCGTTCCACGTGCGTCATCACTAATCTGTCGAGGGACCGTTCAAAGATTGCTTCATTTTGAAGTACGAAAAATAGAGGACAACGTTTTGCCAACACAGCTCTGTCGTGTGTGACACTTCTATCTCTTCATCTCTGCCCCCGACCCTATTCAAACAAGCTGATGCGACCCACGTCCTGTCCTCGCTGTCAACGTGGAAATACGAGCTCGCGCTTCAATGCAATCACCCCCCCCCCCGCCCCCCCCCCCATCCCCC